TCGTCGCCCTCAACCTCGATCGCAGGCGGTTCCTCCGGCTCTCGGCCCGGGATATCGCTACGCGTGTACTTGCTAAGCAAGGAGACATGGAATACCGGGTGCACCGGCACCGACTTCGGCAGGATTAATTCGTAATCCAGGTCTCCGAGCTTTCGCCGCACGGCATATGGTCCAAGGCGCTTGGGACTGAGCTTCTTGCTCGGCTGTTTCAGCTTAAGGTTCCGGGCATCAAGCCAGACCTTATCCCCCGGCGCAAAGACCGGTGCCTGTTGCACGTGCTTATCGTAGTACACTTTCATACGCTCGGCCGACAGCTCGAGCGCAGAGCGCGTATCGTCGCGAATCTCCTTCAGGATCTTGAGCCGATCAGCGGCCGCAGGCATCGCGGACATCGGATTGATCCGAACCTGGATCTCAGGGTTGTACCCTTGATGCAGGAAGAAAGGGGAATGCCCGGTCGCGGAGTGAACTCGGTTATTCAGTGCGAATTCCGCGAGCGGCAACTGCTTCGCCCAATCATCCTGCCTGTGGCTTGTGAAGGCACGCAGGTACTGTTCGATTTCCTGATTCCAGCGCTCAGTCTGGCCGTCTGTCTGAGGGTGAAACGCCGTGGACAGCGCCGGCTCGATTCCCAGACCCTTGTACACCGCCTGGAGATATTTCGAAGCGAACTGGGGGCCTCGGTCTGATATGACCTTGGCCGGGGCCCCATGATGCTTGAACACATCGCGGATGTACAGGTCTGCCGCACCTTCTGCCGTCAGGGTCTCATGACAGGCCGAGAAGTGGACCTGCTTGGTAAAGCGGTCGGCGGTAACCAGGATCGAGTCGAATCCATCAGACTTCGGCAGGCCAACGATCATATCCGTGGTGATGATCTGCCACGGGCGCTCGGGGATCTCGTTCGGCTTCAGCGGGCCCTGAGGCTTGGCTGGGAATGTCTTGGTACGGTTGCACACGTCGCAGGTGCTTACGTACTCATTGACGAATTTGGACATCCCCGGCCACCAGTAATTCCGCGACACGAGCTCCAGGGTTTTGGCGCGACCACCATGACCGGCGATCGGCGAGTCGTGGTGGATCTTAACGATATCCCGCCGGAGCTCCGCGTTCTTTGGGACGTACACGCACCCGCGGAACAGCAGAAGCCCTTGTTCGGCATTCCACTCCTCAAAACCCCTTTGCAGCCGGGGCGGCCCGAGGTCCTGCACCTTTTCAAGTGCCTCGGCCACCTCCCGATCCTTCTCCGAACATTCCCTGATGCGCTTCAGAAGTGACTGATCGGCCGTCACCGAGGCGTGACCGCGCCTAGCAGAGGCGATGCGGAAGCGCTCTGGCTTGAGAACCACCTGATCGGTGTTATCGTCCTCATCGCCGATCTGATGGTCTGATCGACGCGACAGGGCATCAGCCTTTCCATTGGACGTCCCGGCTTTGTGCGTGATACGGAAGTCGAAGCGAGCCAGGAACAGCGACCATCGCGCTTGATGGCGCGTGAGATGCTGGGATGTACGCCAGTACTCGAGGTTCTTATGATCGGTTACGATCTCGAACTGATTGGGTAACCCCTCGAGGTAGTGGCGCCAATCGTCCAGCGCCTCAATGATCGCGAGCATCTCCTTATCGTAGATCTCGTAGTTCCGCTGCGCCGGATCCATCGCATGTGATCTGAAGGCGATGGGATGCCATTTGCCGTCATCCTGCTTCTGCATCAACACGCCGCCAGTGGCGTACCCTGAGGCGTCAACCTCAATGCGCGTCTCCCGATTAGGGTCGTACAACGCCAAGACTGGAGTCGTCGCGAAGAGCCGCTTGAGCTCATCGAAGGCGTGCTGCTCTTCTTCGCCCCAATGCCATGGGTCGTTCCCTGTGAGTCGGTCGAGTGGTCGCGAGATCTTAGCGAAGTCTTTAATGAAGCGGCGGTAGAAATTGAAGAACCCCCGGAACTTCTGAACGTCTTTTTTGTTCCGGGGCACCGGCCACTCATTGATTCCTTTCAGCTTCGCGGGATCCATCGCCACCTCATCGCCACCGAACACATAGCCGACGTAGTCGACCTTGGGAACGTCCCACTCGCACTTCTCAGGCTTCAGGAACAGATCGTTGTCCTGAAGGCGACGCAGAACCTCGCGTGTGACCTTTGCATGCTCCTCTTTGTTGGTGGAGAAGATGAGTATGTCATCTAGGTACACAAGGATCTTGCCGCCGACGATGAGGTCGTGGAAGATCTCGTTCATCATGGCCTGGAAGGTCGCGGGGGAATTAGTGAGGCCAAAGAACATTACCAGGGGTTCGTACAGTCCCCGGTTAGTTACAAAGGCCGCCTTCCACTCGTCACCGGCTTTGATCCGGACGTTATTGTATCCCCATCGGACATCGAACTTCGTGAAGAGCGTAGCGCCGCGGAGTTTATCCACCATTTCGGCGATCAACGGCAAAGGATAACGATTTTTGACCGTGATTGCGTTCAATCGGCGGTAGTCCTGTACGGGTCGAAGTGTCCCTTCCTTCTTTTTGATGAAGAAAAAGGGGGATGAGATCGGCGACTTCGATTCCCGTATGTAGCCCTTCGCTAACTGCTCCTTTAGGAACTTGTCCAGTTCCTCCTGCTCGTTGCTCGACAATGGGTATACCTTGGAATGGAACGTGGAGTAGCCGGGTACAAGTTCGATTGCATGATCGTACGGCTTTCTTTCGGGTAGCCGTTCTGATGCTTCTTTCGAGAAGACCTTCAGGAACTCGTGGTACTGTTTGGGTACCGACTCCTCGGCGGTCTTAACGACCTTCTTCTTGATCTCTTCCTCGGCGAACAGCTGGGAATACGTGTGCCCTGCTGCGACGAACAGCTGAGGGGCGCCGGGAAGCGTGATACCTTGCTCCC